GTCGTCGGCCTGCGGCCCCTCCCAGGGTAGAGCGTCAGGTGACGTCTCCCTGACGTCACCCCGCCCTCGTCCCCCTCCGGCGCTAACTGCCGGCCCCGGCTCGTCCCCCGGCCGGGGCGCCGGCTTCCCTGCGCTGAAGCCGCAGGCGGCGGGCTGTGCCGTCCCGGGGGTTGAGTCCTCCCCCCCTCTCCGCGGCGTGCCGGCGACTCCCGGGAGGGGCGGGGCTACCCCGCCACACGCCTTCCCCCTTAAGTCTGGTGCCCCACTCGCCGTCTCTGTTTCCGAGCTCTCGGCCACGCGGGACAGCCAGTCTGCATTTCCATTGTTGGTCCCCGGGCGATGTATGACCCGAAATTGGTAGGGCTGCAGGCTGAGGTACCACCGCAAAATCCGTGGGTTGGTGTCCTTCATCTGCTGCATCCACTGCAATGGGGCATGGTCCGTCACCACGGTAAATTCGTCACCTACGAGAAAGTATCTTAGTGAGTCAATAGCCCATTTGAGGGCCAAGGCCTCCTTTTCCACTGTCGCGTACCCCCTCTCCCGAGGGAAGAGCTTGCGACTTAGATAGAGGATGGGGTGTTCCTCGCCCCCCTCCTCTTGCGTCAACACCGCTCCCAGTCCTACTTCGGACGCGTCCGTCTGAAGGGTGAAGGGCTTATTAAAATCCGGTTGAGCTAGTACGGGGGCGCTTACCAGCCGGTCTTTTAGTTCTCGAAATGCGCCCTCACAGGTTGGGGTCCACCTTACCCTTTCTGGTTGTCCTTTCCGTGTAAGGTCTGTAAGAGGCGCTGCTAGCGAGGAAAAGTTAGGGATGAACCGCCGGTAGTAACCTGCCAGCCCCAGGAACTGCCGCACCTTTCTTTTCGTGGTTGGGACTGGGTGGTCCCGTACTGCCTGAACCTTGTCCACTAAGGGTTTGAGCTTTCCCCTCCCCACCGTGTATCCCAGATATGAGACTTCGGCCCTCCCGAATTGGCACTTCTTTGGGTTGGCCGTCAGCCCTGCCTTCCTCAGGGCTCCTAACACGTTTGTTATGTGACCTAAATGTTCCTCCCAGGACTCGCTGAATATCACAATATCGTCAATGTACGCTGCCGCGTAGTCCTGGTGCTCTCGCAGGACCTGATTCATGAGTCTTTGGAACGTGGCTGCGGCCCCGTGCAACCCGAATGGCATGTTCCTAAATTGATATAGCCCGAAAGGTGTGGCGAACGCCGTCTTTGCCTGGGCCTCGGGCGAGAGCGGGATCTGCCAGTACCCTTTGGTAAG